GTTACCAACATCTGGTGAAAATTTCATGTCATTAGCACCTCTAGTAATATATTTACTGAGAAAAATGGTGACGTGTTCAATACTTATTTTACCCGCTGTAAATCGCATGGGCAATGAATTCAAAACAGGTGCTTTATTTTGGTAAAAGAAATGAAACCCATTCTACGCTGTGGTTCCCTGTAGTGCTGCAGAGGAGAAACACACAAACACTCAAAAACTGTGAACATGAAGCAGACGATAGAAGAATGTGTGTGGAAACCATTACACTGGTCTGTTTGTGTGTTTGCTTTCCATCCTGTCCTCACCTGGCAGCTTCAGCCACTTGGGCATTTTGCTCGGGTCAGATCTGCTTGGTTTAGGGGCCTGGCTGTGGGCTGATGGGTCTGGCTCTTCTTGTGTCAACCTGTTCGAGTCCTCCGCTGGTTCTGGAGGCGGCAGAGGTTCCTGGACTCCTGCAGAGCTGGATGAGGTTTCTGAAGGATGGATCATGCAGCTGGAGGAGGAAAAACACAAATGAAATCATCCTTCCTAGAAGGAATGCATATCACCTGCCAGAGTTTTGGACTAAAATCATCTGTTGATAAGAAATGATGGACGTGGGTTGGGTAAATCTTGCAAATAACCCTATGCATGATGTGATCACAAGGTGAAACACTCAGAGCATGTGCTCTCTGCTACTACCACACCAGCTCAATACACCCGCTTCAGATGTTATCAGCCCTTTAAATGGACGTTATCAGTAGTTATCAGTCCCATAGAATGGCTTCAGACTGTCAGCTGGTTAATATGAGGCATACAGCCACTAAGGTTAATTTTAGAGAAAATGACCTGGGCTAGGTTAAAGTAGACCATAGTCTGGCAGATTGTTGCCTTTTAACGTATTAGTAGGTAAACAGTCTGAAGCCATTCTATGGGACTGATAACCACTGATAACATTCATTTAATGGACTGATAACATCTGAACCAGCTGCTCAATATCTGTAAAATTAACTGAGTTCCAGAGATTTTTGTGTTTTAAAAGGTCAGCTGGCTGCGGCAGACATCTTGAATTGGGATTAATAGAAAAGTTAATGAGTTGTAGAGATATTTCCAATAAATATTTTCTACAGGTTTCATTAAAATCCATCCAGTGGTTCATGATTTTTTTTATTAAACAGGCAAACACACACACACACAGTCAAAAACAGTCCCCCACCTTTCTTCTTTCATCAGCGGCTAATAAAAAAATATATATATATTTGTCAGACACGAGTTATTTTCCTGGCAGAAGAGATGAGCAAAGAGTAAATGAGATGAAAATGTAAAATGGAGGCGAAGAAACCAAAGGACAAGAGTTGAGGGTCACTTCAGAGCTCTATCTTTAGAACGACTGGACCACGGTGTGTGTGTGTGTTGTGTTTAAGTATGCGTGTTGGTGTGTGAAGGAAACAAGGGCGTGAGAAGGCACCTGCTGTTAGACAGAACCTCAAAGGGATTCCAATGATGACAGCTTTGTGACAGGAAAAAATATATACTCTCTCTCTCTCTCACACACACACACACACACAACCATGTGCACAATTAAAAACAGCGTACCTTGCTATGGTCTTATTTGCTTGCAGGGCAGAAACAGAGGTTTCCATCAGTTCTCTCTTTAAGTAAAAGTCTGTGGAGTAAAAACAGACACTCGGTGAACTATTGTTGTGCTTTACTACATTCCTCAGTCATGCACAAGAACGTCATTAAAATCAGCGTGAAAACTAAAGGAATCAGACAAAAACCTGTTTTGACTTCGGAGCCGAAATAAACCAGGGCACCAGGAAACAGGTCGGCCTGCAGACAGACAGACGGGAGCGTGAAGGACGTAAACAGGAGCCACAAAAAAAGTTTGGCACACAGGTCAGTTTCAACAAACAAGCTAAACGCCTGCATCACACTAACCTGATGTTACTGCCAAATCTGAGGCAAAAAAGATGAATAAAAAAAAACAGCTCATTTCTGAGAATGATTCACGGTTTGGGGATCTGAAGCAGTAACCACGCTTCTTTGAAGCAGACCACAAAATGAGCACTAATCAAATGGTTACTGAAAGCACTTTCACCCCTGAAGCATCGCATTCCTCCAGCAGAGAGCATCTTAATGGATATATTGGACCAGACGCAGGAAGATTTATTATCAGACTCACAATTTGAAGGGTAAAAACACAGACGAACAGGCAGGCGGCTCAACAGTGTGTCGATCGAACGCAACAGGAACAAAAACAGTTTGGGGAAAATCTGTTCTACGCACGAAACACACGTGAATATTTCAATGAGCCAAACAAAAAAGCAAAACACGATGGAGACAAACATTGGTTTTATAACAGAGGATAAAAACGCTCCTCTTGCAACTTGAATTAGATGTTTGTGAGAAAAGTTATATCTGCTTTCTTAACACTAAAAGTGGCTTATTAAATATGTTCCTTTTAGTATCTTAAATATTAAACTTCAGCACAGCAAGAAACAAATATGTTTCTGTAAATTTGCAAACCGTTTCAGCGTCTTGTTACAGTTAAATTTATGGTGATCCTATGATTTTTCTTCATCGCAGGAAACCTGACTTTATGTTGCCTTTGAAAACAAAATAAGTTTTGTAATATTTCAAGTAGGTTGAAAATGAAAGGCCAAAAAATAAGTTTAAAAATAGTCATATTTATTACAGGTTATTTTGCATAATTTATTACCTGTTTGTCCTCAAAAAGCAGAAAAAAAAGACTAAAATATTTTATATATATTGAAC